GTTTGAATCAGCAATCAGAATACTAAATCTCTGGCTGAAGGGGATAAATGCTGAACGCCAGAGCATTGTGTTCATGATCTATAAATTAATGTTTTAAGTTGAAAGGTCCTATGTGTCACATTCAGGAGGATCTATTGTAATCTATTGAAATGCAATATAATCGTTTTTTATTTGTTCTCATAGTGTAAAATTGAAACAATCATTCTGTAACATTGTGTTTTCATTACCTTAGAATGTTTATATCTACAGAGAGAGCGGGTCCTCTTCCACGGAGTCTGCTATGTAGTAGCCCAGAACAGCCACCAAACACTGGCTAGATCTAGATAGGGCTTTTCACGGTTTCCACAAGTTTCGCAGCCTCAGTAGTTTTTCTTACATGGTTGGAAGGCAAGCGATTATTCAGTTTGTTGCAATCTAGACTAGAGGCCACTAAATCCTACCCACTGGTTTTTTAATTCCCAGTGGTGGTGTTGTTTGTTTCAACACAACTGGTTATAATTGCAGGCAGGAAAACTCTCGCCAGAATAAGTGTCAGTGAATCAGCGTATTTACCAACATGTCAAACTATCCCTTTAATGGCCACTATACACACTGGAATTGTAAATATAATCTTTCATTACCACGCATGGTACATTTAATTTTATCTGCCAACTGTCAACATCACCTGAATTAGTTGATTGTTAGTATTGCGATCCAATACCCAACTCCATCTGCTCCAACTGTTACTAATAAAAATGAGTACTGTCTGCTGGCATCAGTATGTGACCATGCATTTTTTTTGTCCACACTTGTGATGAACTTACTAACTAACTAATATTAACATAATAATCCAGAGCTGAGAGGCGGATGTGGCTTCACTTTGATTTTCAGGAGCTCACACAACAGCCTTGGACATTGCTCAAGGATTACATTAGTACTCTTAATGTTTTAGATCTTCACCTGCAAACTCACTTTGCTTTCGATTTTATGCTGATCATTTTCCAAATCATACATCATATTTTTGAATAGTTTCCTGTACTTCTGTTGGTTTCACTTAATTTGCATGAAATATCACATTGCAAATTGGCTGAAATTGAGGTTTTTGAAGTTCTTTAGATAGAAGCTATTTTAAAATAAAACTAATGTTTGTTTACCTAAAGCGGGCATGTGATTCTCAATTTTGAGTTAAATAAGGATAACAAACTGTGACATCAAAAATACATTACAAAAAAGTGCTAGGACATGGCAACAGATTTCTTTTCTGTCATTTCTTCCTACATACAAAAATACTCTTTGGATTTTTCCCCTTAATAAAAAAAACAATCAATGTCATCATTAATGTATTTTCTGGGAGGTGAAACAGCATCATGGAGGCCCACAGTGAACCCGCTGCAGGCTGAGTTTGTGTGTGGGCCTACGCTAAGCACCGGCTTGCATCATTACCTCCACGAAAGCCACAGTGGCCAGCAGGAAACTGACAGGATTCAAGACGACAACAAAGTTTATGTGCAGTGTGGGTAGACAAAGAGGAGGGGAAATAATCATTCTGCACATGTCCTGTCACTAAAGCTTCATCTTCAGTTCTAGCTGACCTCCGTTGGTTCTACAGCAGCTACAGATAGCTACCATGTGGAGACAACAAGAACTGTTGAAGGTCAGTGATGGTGTTTTTATATTTTTTGCAACATTTTTCCAATATTGCAATATCAAAATATGTCAAATGTATGTAAAAATCACTAAAAAATAATTAAACTGATCTTGAAACCAATAAACTATGTTCCACTGTTGTATTACATCACATAACTCTGGTCATCAACAGAGATACAATCACAATACCATCATATAATCATGACAAACAGTTACTTTCATAATTGACTATTTTATCCATAAGATAAGATGTTCCTTTATTGATCCTCGCGGGAGAAATTAAAATTTGACACAGCAGCACAGGGGGAATGTAGTACAAATTTCAATAAAGAATTCTAAGTAAAAATATTATAAAGATATAATAGAAAATATAAAGACTATAATTAAAAATAAATACATTATATGCAATATGCAAGTAAGAGATATGCTGTGCATAAATATTTAGTCGATAACAGTCTATAACTAAACTGTACATGTGCAAATTATAACAAGTTAGAGTTTGTGCAAGAGTTGCATAAAGCAGGTTAAAGTTAAACCAGTCTTTATCTGCTGGGGTTGGAGGAACTGGGTGCTGTGGCGTTGTGAGTCTGATGGCAGATGGTACAAATGAGCCTCCAAACCGCTTTGAGGCTCGGGGCTGGGTCAGTCTGTAGCTGAAAGTGCTCCTGAGCTGCCTCAGTTCAGTGTAGAGAGGATGAGAGGGGTTGTCCATAATGGCTTTCAGCTTCCCTCTCATCCTCTTCTCAGTCACAGCCTCCACACAGTCCAGCTCCACCCCCACCACAGAGCTGGCCTTCAGCATCTTGTCCAGTTTGTTGGCACCTCCAGTGCCGATGCCTCCCCCCCAGCACACCACAGCAAAGAAGAGGACACTTGCCACTACACACTGGTAGAACATCTGTAGTAGTCGAGTGCACACGTTGAAGGACCTGAGCCTCCTCAGAAAGAACAGCCTGCTCTGACCTTTCCTGTAGAGGGTCTCAGTGTGATCCGTACAGTCCAGTTTATTGTTGGGTGTCACCCCCAGGAACATGTAAGTGTCCACCATCTCTACCTTCTCCCCCCTTATAGCAACTGGGGAGGGGGTCCTCTTGCTGCACCAGAAGTCCACCACCAGCTCCTTGGAATAATTATTGTTTAGCTTGGGTGGTAAAAAATGTCCACAATTTCCAAATCTTTCTTTCCATCTTCGAGTGTCGCGTTTTGTTCGATACAAATACTTACCAACCAAACCTACCAAACACTAAAAGTTGGAATTTAACTCAATGCTAGAATAAGACGTAACACAAGTCCTCTCTTTTAGAAAAACTATATAAAGTAGCAATGTCTTGCAGTACATCTTATCATTATCTAACTGTGAATGTAACTGTCAGCATTGCAGGTTTAACACTAAAGGCCGACCACGGTCTTCACATTAACACTGTACAAACACCTGCAGGAAGTGATTCTGCAGTATCAGCAGTAGCTTTACATGGAATTATGTCGCTGCAGCCCTCGAACTGAGCAGAACAGAAAATTGTAATGTGGACTAGCCAAAACACTGGCTGATCTCAGATCTGCTTCCTGTCAGTTTGTACTACATCAGTTTTCCCTCTTATGACCTATTCCTCTGCAGATAAATCCACTCCTGCCAATGTAACGTTATCCTGAAGGATTGATTTCTCCATCCTGTGATCCAGTGATCCAGAGCAGTCTGCTAGGGAAGAGTCAGGGGATTCAAACTGGCAACCCACCACACACAAACAGTGCTACTACCATCTCCCACCAGGGAGTACTGCAACATGAGAAACACAACGTCCTCCGTGACACAACAAATCGATGCCACATTCTTCATTCTTTTAATGAATTCACACTCTGTTTATTTATGAATCAATGCAGGAGGAGCAGGACTTCCAGCATCGGTTGGAGTGAAAATAAAAAAGGAAGGAAGAGGCCGATGTCTCTTGCTGGATTTCAAGTTTTTGTCTAATTAATGTGACATGGGTTTAATATTTTGAACTTACACTTGTGCACAAATAAACTCCCACGTCTGCCTTCTGTCTGAGCAGATTCATCACTCACACACACACACACACACACACAAGCTCAATGAAAACGCCTCGTCTGCATATTGAAATCAAACACCACGAGACGCTCATTAACAGGCTTCCCAGCGGCACGGGCGATCATGGACGTTCTTCAGTCAGAACTGGCTTCCCTGCTTGTTTTCATTACTGAGAGCTCCTAGGTCCAGGCTGCCCTCCAGCACAGCAGAAACCATTCATCTGAATTTAACACGGACAAACCTGGGGAGAGCTATTCAACAAATTAGCTGAATGGCCTTTGAACACGATGCAGCCAAGGACTGTGCTTCAATGCATGCAATCAAACGCAGCCAAAGACTCAGGATTTATTTTTTGTTAAGACAAAATAACTTCAGGCTGAATGCACAGCCATGCCAGCCTCATGTTTCATTTAAAACAAAGGTTATTTTGACACGTGGACAGGCCTAACCTCATATACAGCGAGGTGATCCTCATTTTAAAAAACAATAAAGAAACTTTAAGGTTGCAGGGAAAACCCACAGTCAGTTTACATGTGTTTATGTTTGCCTTGAAGGGGATATGGCACAAATACAGATAGCACAAACAAGGACGATTTTAAGAGGAAGTGTGCTTAAATTAATTTTTATATAATAGTGATTGTTACTGGTTTATTGTACCTCATTTTCTGCTTTGATAAGAGATGCATGCATGGATAATCTGGTTTGAATGGCTTGATTCTGGTGATTCATTTTTTGATGACGTGTTCTTTTTTCAAAGCAATTTGGAAAAACTGCAAAGACCACCTGTATGTGATTAATAAAACTATACTCTCGGTTTTCGAATGTCTTTAACACTGTATCAGATTCCTTTCGGATTTCCTTCAATTTAAGGTTGACTTGAGGCGTACCAAGCAGGCACACAAAGCGCCAACGACTCAAAGACCTAGGATTAAACAAGTCAAGTGGATGTTACATTCGGCAATGATTTTATTCACTATGTAGAGCTTGTTTAATAAATAATTAGAATTTAACAGTTGCATCACAATAGTGGCCGCCGCCTTCGGGGCAGTTTTTCAGAACGGCAGCACTGTGAAAGCAACAGGAGACCCGAAGAGAAAAGAAACTATTTTATTGAAATCAGTGATTTTTTGTTGAACACATGTAGGCCGAATAAATCGGGGGCTCCTTATTACTCCAAAAAGATTGTAGTGTTTTTGTTTTTGTTTAAAATACTTTGTCAGGTAAGAGAGTCAGCTTTGAACGGACACATTTTTAATGGAAGTTAGCTAGCGGGTCCCTCCATGCAACAGACAACAGGTGCATGTTGTGTTAGTGTGCGGCACAGACTCACCTTCTGCTGCCGCCGGGCCATGTCGGTGGGCTGCTTGGCGTTGAACGGGTAGGCTATGCACCGCAGGACAAACACATAAATCTGAAGTTTAATTTTTCTCTCCTCTTCCTCCTTCTGGATCCGCTCGCGCTCCTTCCTCTCCTCCTCTTCACCTGTAGCGTTGCTGTCTTTAGCACCTTTGCCTGGGGGACCTCCAGGTGCGGCGGACTGTCGCTGCTGGCCGCCCGCCCGGTTGTTGCTCCCCCGTTTCCCCGCCGAGGAGGCAGCCGGTTTCTTCGGAGCCTCCTGGACAACTTCTGGGTCCGACTCCCCGCCGGTGTCTTCGCTGGAGGACGGGTCCAGCATTGTTCACGCTGTTAAAACTCCGGTTCAGACCGACAAATCAAAAGAAATAGAGAAACAACTGTTTAAGCTTTACTTTGTTTGTTTTAGTCGACGTGGCGTTAACAGCTGCACTTTACCGTCCGACAGTCCTTCCCTCCTGCGGTCGGTGGTGTGTTTGAGTCTAAGCCAAGACCGGAGAGCAACGTCGGGGTTGTTTTTGTTTTTTCCTTTTTTTTGTGGGGGGGTGGGCGGAGTTTTAACGGTTAATATTTGGGGGTTGTCGCCGCGTGCGCTTCGTGCCGTCACACAGGGGATGAGTGTCGGAATGGCAGCGCGCGCCCGCCGCCACTGGCTACTGCACAGAGCTCGCGCGCTCTGACACGCGCTGCAGCACACAGGTGAGCAACCTGTAGCTGCAACCAGAGAGAGAACAACAGCGACGAGGCTGCGAGGATGTCTCACTCTGCCTGTGTTTCAATACTCTCTGAACACTGTCAAAAACAATTCTATCATTCTATACACTGTGCTTAATGTTATATCCTACTGAAATCAATCATTTGAGACTTCAGGAAATACAATTCTTTACTTTTTGCAGAGTGTTAAATGAGAAGATGAATACAGTAGGCCCTAAAATACAGCCAGAAACTGAGTTTAGCTTAATTTAGCACAAAAAGGGAACAATTAGCTCAGCTCTGTCCACCTATACCAGCAACCTCACACATTTCTATATTATATTCCATTTGGGAATATAACTGTGTGACATTTAGGAGGATCTAGGAGGCAGAAATGAAATATAATATTCATTGGTATGTTTTCATTAATGTATAATCACCTGAAAATAAAAATCGTGTTTCCATTACCTTAGAATGAGTGTTTTATATGTACAGACTCTGCCAGTCGTGACATGGAGGTCACTATGTTGAACCACTTTTTGAATGTTTCTACAGTAGCTCAGAAGGCACAAACCAAACACTGGCTCTAGATAGGGACGTATGCATGTTTCACAGCCATCATAGTTTCTCCTTTGCACTTGGAAGGGGAGAGTGAAGCGAGGGAGTTGCTATCTGCATCTACACCACTAGGTGCCACTAAATCCTACACACATCTCTTTAGTATTTTAATCATATCAAACCAAACTTTTTCCAAATGTTCCTCTGCTATAGCCATGTATTTACACTCATTAGTTATCTCTCCATATAGTGGTTGTTTGTCAGTGGTGGAGTCTGCCATTAGCGCTTGTATACAGGAGATTTAAAGAAAACTATGCATGCATGTCTTCCATAATCTGGAAGATGGAAACAGCTGGACGTGTGTGTCAAGTAATAAAGCAACAGCCAGTCAATTTTATTTATAACACAATCACAAATTTCCTTATTTATAGCTTCCTGCTCCCAGTGATCAATAAATGTACTTTTATGAATTCATTACTTAATTAACCACAACTGAAATCTTAGGGATTGTAGCTTTAAGTATTATACATACAGAGCACTACTGATACTATTATGTATGCTGTTGTAGGGCTAATTAATAGACCTGTGTCAGTCCTACTTACTTGATGGCCACATTCAAATTCAGACAGTGAAAATGAACGCCCACTTTTGCAGGTCAGGTGTAAAGTTTTGACATGAAATGGTAGCAACATTTGTTTAACTCATTCAACACTGATAGTCGAGTGTATTGAACAAAACAGAGGAAAAACATTTAAAGAGGATGCTCAATTTACTGTATCTTCCCATGTTTTTCCAATTAATTAATTATTTGCTGCTGTTAAAGGTACAATATATGCATGTACATGTTTTTAGAATATTTATTTTGTTCACTTATGGTGGAGGGTGCAAGGTTGACAAAATATTAGAAACATCTACAGCTCAACACGAACTACAGCCTCCAGCAGTTCTATGAAGTTGAATCAACACTTCTCTGAAACAGAAACTGAGCACTCAAACCTTAATGAAGGAAGAATGTATTGCAAGACTGCTGCATTAAGATTTGGTGTATCATATTCATACTGTATATTTAAACACTACATGTTAAAAGCCTAAGAGATACTGTGGCCACTAGATGTCAGAGTTTTTCATGTGTAATTTACCACTGATCAGCCAAATTAGAGCTTTACATACAGAAAAAGGCAGCAAATCGTATATATACTGTCAATGCAGGAAATACATGTAGGAGCAACAAGATTTCCAGGTTTGTTTGATTTAGATTTTCTGCTTCTGCTGCAGCTACTGATAATGCACCCCTGAAATAAAACTGTAGAGAGAACTTAGGGTGCTGGTGCAGTGTATTTGCAGCACTACACTGTTGGCATTTGTGTACATTCATTAAATTTCATTGAAACACATATTTAAGAGTTCTGTTTTTCAGCAAAATAAAAAAGGTGTTATCATTTCATTGTTACAGTCATTTTGTGAAAAATGTCTCTTATTTCCTTTGGCCACTTGAACAGCAGAACAAGCTGAAAACACAACAAATGACAAAATATCAGCTTGTATATTAGTTGGGACTAACATATCAGCAAACACTACTTCCACATCTCTAAGTGTGTCTGTGTCTGTTTCGCGCAGCAGGTAATGTACAGTGGACTACTACTGGAGACTGAACCAGACAGAAAATGTGCAGCAAAAACCAAACCTAGGAGCTAAAAGAGGCAAAAAAGTTCTGTAGAGTGTCAGAAGTGGAGACACTTGTATTTTATCCATTGCTCATATAAAAATATGAACTAGTTCAGCTTTAATAAAAAAGCAAGCAATAACACTGAGAATGCTGCTGTTTGTTGTTAATAAAACCAACAATGTGTTAGTCCATCTCTCAATACTTTCCAACTTCCCTACCCTGACGGTGGCATACAGAAATAGTGCATTTATCAGGGACTATTTTCAGGGGCGGATTAATCCACATGAGTTTTTCTGGCAGCAGTACCGTGTGTGGGATTCTGTCAAAATAAACTACGGTGTGCGTGCTAATGGTAATGATAGAACTTGACTGTGATTTTACTTTTAATAGTACTTTTATTAGTTTTTGGGCAACATACGCAATACTCATCAGTAGGATTTGCGTTGGGTCTGCCAATGATATTTGTTGACTGCAAGAAAATTAAAGAATAAGACCAGACAGAACTATGGTGCTTAGGTTTGGAAATGAATGGATGAATGGTCTCTGCCTGCAAGATGGATAACACAGACACAAATATCTGTCTGAATATTGAAATAATTATCATGTGTATCTTAACGACAGAGATCAAAGTGGGATTGTCATTTGTCCATCTGTATTTCATACACAATAACAAACAAACCAAAAATATGAGTAGACCTAACACAAGCAAATATAAAAACACACAAAAAAACACACAAAATGATGCTAATACAATGTATGAAGGGGTCAGAATGCATACAAGAAATTGTGTAATGCAAACAATTTTAATTGTAGTATGTAGTAAAAACAGAACTGAAAAAGATATACCAACAACTTTAACATTGCTTCCTTTTCAAAACAAAATATTTGAAACTGACAAATACTGAAGTATACAAAGAAATGTGTCTCAAATGTTCCATTGCACAAGTAAGAAACAAATGAGCTACAGCATTTGTTTCGGCTACCCACCTGCATGACAGTATATAAATAAAAATGAATATCACATGGGACTGTGCTGAGCAATATACCAGATGACCCGTATACCGGGTTATCTCTATTAATGCTCTTATCAACATGGAAAAGTGGATCGGCTTGCTTTGTGCAAATGTTGTTTTTATTGAAAACAACATTGGCATATAGGCTACTGTAGTGTTCAATTTCTTGTCAATGGAACCATTTGGCAACTTTTTAAAAGTAAACTTTCCATTCAGAATATTATTGGCATCCATTTCGGGGTCTCGCACTCACCATCCACTCAAAACGTAACGTCTACTACTCTTAAACAAGAGGCGTGCCTGCTGTTTGGTTTCCGGTCTAGCTAGATCAGGTGTAGTGTTGTAGTTTTTCTAACGTTACTAGTTGTTGCAACAGCATGTGAAAAAAACTACAAAGTGTGCTAGGCCAAAATGAACGCTGTTAAAATGGGTTTGCGTAAACGTGTTAATATCACGTTTTACTGACAGCACTAGTTAATAAAATTTAGGAAAAGATGAACAATTAGGGAAAAGGAGTTTGAGAAGATGCAGCAGAATATGGTGTCTTGGTATTGGAACCTGTACACCTGCAGCCAATCAGATGATGTATTATGAGCCAATCAGTGACCTGAACTTTGAACTCATAGGGCGATTGTTGTAAGCTTAAGGGACTTTAAAGGGAGTGTAGTGTAGTGTAGTGTAACATATTATATAAATATAAACAAGTCTGTTTTTACCACTCTTGCACTCACATGTGGCTGTGGCTCAGAGGCAGAGCGGGTCGTTCCTTAATTGGAAGGTTGTGGGTTCGATCCCCAGCTCCTGGTGCCACATGTCACATGCCACATCCTTGAGCAAGATACTGAACCCCAAATTGCTCCTGATGCCGTGCATCGGTTTGTGAGTGTGTATGATTGTTAGTTTCTGTTCGATGGACTTTGCCATCACTGAGTGAATGTGTGTGAAAGGGTGAATGTGGCACGTAGTGTAAAAGCGCTTTGAGTAGTTGGAAGACTAGAAAGGCGCTATACAAGTACAGGTCCATTTACCTGTTTTGTGGTCTTTTGTAATGGTGTGTCCCACGGGTACTTTGTGCCAGAATAGATGTATCTTTTACTAAAAGTTACAGAGACAACAGAGGAAGTCCGCCAACCAGTCAAGTCACAGTTTACATCCATGTCTATACAGACTCACATAATATAATATATGTAGTGAAGACTTTGAAGGAATTGAGTAAAAGCTATAAGGTGTATTTATGGGGTAAATGGATGCATAATGGACTATACTGATGATACATACGTGTAATTCCAGTGATTAAACATTACACATGTACTTGATTATTATGTAAAGATCGATTCTAGCTAGAGTATGGTATTGGAACCTGTACACCTGCAGCCAATCAGAGGATGTATCAATGAGTAAAAAAGACAACAACTAATAGGTAATCAACATGCCAACATGCGGCGCTTTTGTTTACTCCTGACATTTTTAGATGCAAAGCCTCTCTATGAGCTCACTCACAGGATCACAATTAGCCCGAAATGTTACAGTATGTTGTTGGCAGTCACGTGATTCCGATGACACTTGAAATTCAGAATGAGGCAGTAACTGAAAGGCAGAATGGATGGGATGGAAAGATAAAAGCCTGTACTGTGCTAATTATTGTTTACTCATTGTGTCGTCCCAGTCAACATGTGTTTGAAATCTGGAATCCGCCAATTCATTCTTAAATTATGGTTAAGATGCCAGCTGCCAGCTGTTTGTTATCTGAAGCTCAATTTATTCTTCTGTCTTCTGTCTGTTCACTGATCCAGTCAGCACACCATGTGGACAACCCTGCATCACTGAACACTGATGTCCAGAGTCAGTGTCCCATGTGTAAAGAGGTTTTCTACACAAAACCTAAGCTGCGGGTCAATACTTTAATCTCTGAGGTGGCTGCTCAGTTCAGACAGTCAGCTCAACAGACAGCCAGCAGCAGCAGCTCACAGCAGCAAGTTTCCAAACCCGGAGAAGGTCTCTGTGATGTCTACACTAGAACCAAACTTTTAGGAAGAGCAGGGAGGTCCCAGAACAGAGCTATATTGAGCCATATGTACCGGTACATAACTTCCTGCAAATAAAGTTTCCTTTGACTTTCCTTTGACTTTTTCAGTCAAGTGGTCCTGACTGAAAAAGCCTGTTGTCATATACTGTGAAGAAGATTTGATTCACATTTGCACAGTGCAGCATGCAATGAACATGTAAGATTATTATTATTGCACAGCCTAGACACGTTAACAAACAAAGGGTCGGGATTAATCTAAAGAAAACACTGTATTTCACTTGAAGGGATGAACTAGTGAGAAACGTTAAAATAAATGAATGGATTAATACATCTTTTTTACCTACAGACGAAAATACAAACACATCTTTCATCAGGTGAAACAAAACACTATGAATCTACCAGAGGAGAGAGGATCTGGAGGAAGCTGGTGATGGTGGCGGCATTGCTGGCCACCTTTGTTACCATGGTGACGATTATGCAGGAGACTCTGACCGTGGCCAAGACTGGCAGATCACCCAGAGGCATCAGCAGTTCGGCCACCCACAAAGACAGGCCCGAATCCCACAGACAGTGAGATGGTTTTGAACCAGTTTTTAATTTATGTCGATTAAAGGGTCAGCCCATCCAAACTACAGTAAGACATATCTCCCCTCTTCTCCCTAGTATCTAATCTATATAGTTTGTTTTTGTTTGTCCAGGCTTTGACATATCTGTCTGGGAGATTTTGGCCTCCATACAATCAAGGTAAATGGAGTTTAGTTTGTGTTGCTCACAGCATTCAAATATAACAAATAGTCTCTATGAAACTTTGGATTATCCAGAGGAAATGGGACACTGTTTCTGAAAAGACATGAAGACAGAGTTTTTGGAAATGTATTTGTTCAATGCTGTGAGCAGCAGATACAGGTTAGGCAGGCTGGGTTTGGTGTCAGAGGGCAGGTCGGTATTTCCAAATCTCAGCAGATAAAATCTAAACTATCTGACCGGCTAGTGTGGAAGAAAAATTCCTTGAGGTCCAATTTTGTGGCTGGTTCACATAAGTTTTATTCACTGGAGACAGAAGTTCACAACAAAGCTGTAGAATTATTTCTGACCAGAGTGAGTTTCTGACCAGAATTATATACAGGGTTACAGGAAACAAGGTTAAACAAGAAGGTGAGGACAGGGCTTTCCTTATAATAGATCAAAGGGTTCACACACAAGGATGTGTCTCAAGACAGAGCTTACTGTCCTGTACAAAGGCAGGTACTTAAATCAATGAAGATTAGTTTGTCTCAGTACAGTACACTGGTGTTAAAGAAAATATTTAATTAAAGACACAGAATAACAGTAAGTTGTAACAGTAGACAACAGGTTAAGTGAGAAAATATGATTTTTTTGTGATTTGACTGAACTGATCCGTTAACAATGCATATTACATTTGTTACATATTATATTATATGTATTATTATTGACCATTTTCTGATTTCCTGCTTATAGTTAATTTCTATTTGCAGAGACACATAATCATCTCATGACGTAGAGCAGAGACTGAAACCGGTTTCATTGCATTCAAGGAAGCAAGTTATGTTAAAGTTCCTTTCATTCCTAATGAGTCATATGAGAGTGCATATCTTTGCCTGGTGTGTCTTGGTCAAAGATTAAAGGTAGGTGTCTGAGTTTTAGCACAACCTACCTGAACAGACTCGCATAACAGCTTCACTGGTGTCTTTAGTAGTAATACTTGAGACAGATAATCTGTGAAAAAAACAGGTTCCTCTGGCTCCTCCTTGTGCTCCTAGGGGCACAGTGGATTCTTGCAAATGAAAAGTAATTTTGATAAAATGTACCTACTGCAGCTTTAAAGCCTCAAATGAGAACTCATTCTCAAAGACTTGTGTCTAAATAAACTTGTGTCGTGCCCTTTAGTGTCTTTCTTTACCTCAGGTATTTATTTTATAAAATTATTTTAATTATGAGTTATTTCTGTCTACCTGTATTTATTTTATCACTGTCTGTAAATTAGGAAAATAATTAACTGTAAAATTAAACTTTTATGTCCACATGGAGAAATCTTACCATCTGCAGTTTTATTATTTATTTATTATTAAGGAAAGAATTTCTGCTGATAAGCACTTTGTGATATGATCAAAAGCTGTAGATGAGCTACTAAATAGACCCTGAGGTGAGGTTGTTTAATCATTATTATATAATGATAACTCTGGCTTACCTGCTGATTTTACAGCAAATTCTTATGAAAAAATCAATCACTTTAGGCAAGAAAAAAATGATGGATTAATCAAAGAAATAACTTATTATTACTGTAACTTATGATTATAACTAATTAGGAACCAATGCTGTCTGTGACAGACACAGCTAACCTCTGTCCCTTCAGCTCGTGCGAAGCCTCCACCAACCAGCAGGGCCACTTTGCATGGCATGGAGGCCTGGAACTCCAGGAGATCATGGCCTCTGGATGGAGAGAAAAAATATCCTGCTCACATCTTTTCAGACAGACAGAAGCTGGTTAACAACTGGGAGAGGGTAAAATCAGACATAACACACAGTACATTATTAAGCACAAAGAATCCTCCAAAGTTCCTCAAAACAGTACGTAAGTAGAGTGCTTGAGTAAATGTACTCCATCATGGTTACCTGCTGATGTGGATTTTACAGTAGACTAACCTACATTAGTGTTATGTGTAATTACCATATTTGGAGGGTCCATAGGCAGGTACGATGAAGAAGAGGAGGCCCATCAGCAGAGCCACGGTGGCGTTCAGAAGAAGAACAGAGGAATTAGGCCGAACCAAGTGGCACCAGCAATTACATTACCACAACAACACCATCACCAGGAAAACCACCCCAGTGAAGAGCTCCTGAGAACTGGAGGGAGGACAAAAAGGAGAGGTAATGAATGAATGAATAATGGAAGGTAGATTAGTAGATGGCTGAATGGATTAATAACTAAATAAGAGAATCAATGTGAGAGTATATGATTGTATGATAGATGAATAAATGAAAATGAATAAATAAATCAATGAAAACATGAATGAATGAACAAACAGACAACTGAACGGATAAATGAATTAATGGATTTATAACTGAACGGATGAATAGACATATTATTGATTGAATGAATGAAGGACTATACAGTATAACTGAATGAATGCATAAAAACAATCAATTAATGGATGGATGGATGAATGTGTTACTGGGTGTATATCTAAATGAATGAAGGAATGAATATATGAATAAATGAAAATATGGAAGACTAAATACATGAATGAATGAACGAATGAATGAATGAATTAACATAATTACTGAACATATGAGAGACTGAATGAATAACTGACTGACTGTAGTAACGAATGAATGCATTAAGGAACATATATATGAATGAATAAATTATTGAAAATAGTAACTGAATAAATCAATGAATGAGTGATTGATTGTAGGAATGAAGGAATGAAGGAACAGCATAGACTCTGAACCTACCGTGTAATTGAATACATTAATAAAAAAAAATGAATATATAACTAAATGAGTGAATGGATGGGTAATGAAGCAATGATTGAACACCTCATGGGTTCCTGCAACCTGTACTCATCTTCTATCACTTCTTTTGTGGCTTTCTCTCTCTCAGACTGCTCTCCTCCACATCGCCACAGGAACATGAAGCTGTGTGTGAGAGTGTGTGTACAGTACACACAGACAGGAGGTAGGTGAAAGAAAAATGCTCACAGTGAACCAAATGATTGACAGTGGTTAAAAGTACCCGGAAGAGCACACAGCACGAACTGGCTGATGAAAAGATTACTGAGCATGTGCGGAGGCCAGCGGTGCTCACAATTAACCTGTCTGACACCATCACACAGCTAATGCTAACATTAGCATTATACTCATGCCTGAAAATGAAAGCAGGTATCGCGGAGGTCTGTGATCATAGCATACATTTCTCAAATCCAAAGAGTTATCACATATTCAGTGTCCAGCAACTCCAGCCAACATAACCTGAGATAGAATGACTGTGTCTGCCAAACACTGCAGCTCATTTTCTCATGTTAAGTAAAAAGTAAAAACACATTTATGTAAATAAAATAAAAATATTTAAGCTAACCAAACAGGGTTGTTAAAAACTGAATAACTCATTATTTTTTTCTCCTTTATAATACTATGACTTCCTAGCTCTTCCCTGAAATACAAAGAAGTAATAATAAAAAAAACCCATCCTCTATGTGAATCATCATCTGGCGAGGCTGCTGATGTTTTACCTTGGACAACTTGTAGCCTCAGTCTTCTAGCATATTATGTAACCACCAAGGGGTTTACTTGAGACCAAAGATTATCATTTTAAAGCAAGTGAGCTGGGAACATTAAAAAGTCAGATAATTTTTTATTTTATTTTAAAGAACTTTTATGAACTCAAATTCATCATAAAACTCAACTGGGCCTTTTTGAGGGTTATGGCTATTAACAACATTTTAATATATTTATAAACTATAACATATCAGACTTTAATAGGGAACTGGACTTGATTTGATTGAATTAATATTTATTATCATTATTACTATTATTACAAAAAGATACATTATAAAAAATAAATTCTTAATCATAGTGGCCCTGGACCGCACTATATCTTCTCAACAATAAAACCCTGTTATAGTTATAGGTATAAGTTATAAAAATGTTATAAGGAAATTGTGATAATAGCAGTAATAATGAATCAATGGACAGGAGTTAAACAGAGAAAGAACAGCAGAAGATAAAGCTGATGATGAGGAAATGAGCAGACGGTGTGTTGAAACTCACTCTGAGCCGATGAAGGCCAGTAGAGCCATATCCGTGTCAGCAGCAGCATGATAACACTAATGGGCAGGCACAACAGCAGCCAGTTCCCGAGGTTAATGCAGTTGCAGTTTGGGTAAATCCTGCGTTTAAACACAGTGTTTGAGCTGAATTTAATTGCATTTTTAAAAAATGCACACTGACGCTGTGAATCCTTTGGTTTTGTTCTTTAATTTACTCCTGTCCAGCAGACCGAACCATGCAAACATTCTTCACAGGGGGATTTTAAATTGCAATTTTATATTTAGCAAATACCAACCCTTACACGGATTAAGTTGCTTCTTATTTATTTTGTGTGTTGCTTCAAATGCCTTTACAGGACTGTCTGTTTTGTGATTCCCTTTCTTTGTATTTCATGTCTCCTTTTCTCTGTCTCATACATATATATAGTCAGCATGTCTCCCACCACTCACTGGTTGAGGTACTCAGAGAAGATGAGGTTGGGCGACGTGCCGGGCAGCGTGCTGATGCCTCCTATGATGGAGGAGTAGGCAACGCTGATGCACATTGTTTTACAAATCATCAGGTCCTGTTTACTCCTGCTGGGAGCTGCAGGCTGACATCCAGCAGCCTGCAAGACAACACAGCACAAGGGTGCAATTGCCCATGAGCAGCAGCATTAACGATAGTACTACTGGTAGTAGCAGGGCGAGTAGTAGTAGTACAAATCACACAGTGAGTTTAAATAGTAAAAATAGAAACAGTTATCAGTAGCTTTAGTAGTAATAGTAGTATCCATTTTGGGACTACTGATCATAACATTTCTAATAATAGACTGAAGGCAGTGCTGTGGGATAATAGCAATAGTAGTACACAATAGCAGTTGCATATTTTCGGATTTTGCGGATGGGGCATGGGATAGTTCTGACCCAGGTTTTGTGTGAATCTAACACACCTATGTAGACCTATGGGAAGATCCGAGGGATCAACAAACAGACTTTTAAAATGGTGGACTATTGCAATAGTAGAAGTAACAACAGCAGTGGTAAGTAAGAGCTGTTGAGGAATCTGCATTATCAGTAACAGTAATATAAAGGAAACAAGGTGTATTTTTTTTAATCCTGTTCAGTGGTCATTGTACCTGATGTGCAGCGGGCTGTGATGCTGTCTGTATCTGAACACAGCTTAAGGTCTCTTGACGAACATCTGGATGCTTTCTGCTCACTGAAGGACAGAGAAATACAGTATTACTGTATACTTGAGGTACTAAGATGAACACTGCACATGAGCAGAACCCAGAGGGACAGTGAAAGCAACAGAATTGGACAGCAGAGTTTCTGAAGTAATCAATGAGGAACATTACAAAACTGCAACCCTTCACATACCTAAGAGTTTCTTTCAGCTTTTTCAAATGGCTGTCAGTTTCTGAAAACTAACTTTGTTCTTAGCATCATCGGATAATCTGTAATTCTTCTCAATTGTTTTTTCTCCATTTGTATTTTCTTTTATTGCATTTTATTCTATTCTATTTTGTGGTTCCTCTTTCTGTTAAAAGCACTTTGAATTTCCTTGTTTAAATGGAGTATTCATTGGATGAATCTGCGGTACACATACGTGTTACTGCAGTATAACTATGTCCCGATTCAATCTTATTTGTATAGCACCAAAGCATAACAGAAGTTATCTCAGGAAATTTTTCAAATGGAGCAGGTCTAAATATTATATTTTGTAATTATTATATTATTATTTTATGTTGCCAAGTTGTAAAAAATGCCTATGGTAAGGGCTTATTTTTTCTATTCGGCAGTTTTAAATGGCAGTAATCCATTAATGAATACTAAATAAGTGGTTCATCAATCAATCAGACTTTATTTGTATAGCACTTACGCTATATATAGCTCACCATGTAGGGTTGACTCCCACCATGGTGACGAGCCTCAGCAAGAAGTGGAAGTCTTTAAAGTACTCATTCACCACCTGGAGGAGAAACACACAGAGAGAGAGGGAGTAATATGAGAATAATACTGTACAAGAAGAGAATAATAGTTTACATTTTAGCCCAGTTTCTAATGTAAAGTTGTAGTTTACATCCACCCGTTGTCCAGTAACCGAAATCAAACTCTCAGAAGAAAATGATAAGTAAATAAATAAACAAAAGCAGAAAGACAAAAAAAGCATACACAAATATTCAATAGTTACTTAAAAAGCTATTATTATTTTTAACAAATGTAGCCAGATTGACTAGCTTTTTCATATTTTTAGCATTGAATATTTTTTCTAATTTAACAGTGCTTACAGACAGATGGACTCACATCTGAGGACTTCATGATGCCAAACATGACGGGGAGCATGGCCATAGTCATAGACAGATGAATTACCTCTGTCACCTAGAACGTCACCATCAGCAGCATAACAAAGGCACATTCTGCCTCCTGCAAGGAAAATCACACAGACACTGCTGTAAAACAATATTGCATACATTTAATTTATCGGTTTATCAAAAAATGTACCTATCCAGAAGCCAACCAGTCAGCAGCCACAAAGTTGAATCAGTGCTTAAAAGGCTGCGTTCACATATACAGATACAAAGTAGGAGCCAGTCTCTGGAGCTGTAGCTCTGTGGCACATAAATACTCTGCGTCAGCACTGGAACCAACCCCCCCTCCATTGGAGTGGACACTTCACAATGAATGGCAGCATATCACTCTCAGTTCTTGAGTTTGTATGTGTAAACGGCCCGTAAGTCTGTGGTCGCAGTTCCTCTAATGTCCACTAGATTCTACTCCAAGAAAACTCTGTCTGTACAGAGGATTAAAGGGCATTCACATGATTATAGCAAAGCAAGCATAAATTAATTTAACTCAAATTAAATTCACCTCAGGGTCACCACCCACTGAAAAGGGAAAATTGATAGCCAATTAATTAATTTAGTCTCGATGTGAAGGTTGCCATATTTCTTACTGCGTACAGTGACCATATATTTTATACGCACAAACACACACATAATCAAGTTCTTTATAAATGAAAGGTGTATAAACTTCTAACAAGACACACAATAACTAACTACACACATAATTAATAGCCACTAAACAACCAGTGAAGGGGCAAGTACAACCTTGAAGAACAATGGGTAAATGCATGAATACAGCAGTAAGTGGAATTTCAGCCCGAAGAAGGAGCTGAAACCCTATAGTTTTTGTGTCGGTTTATTAGGGGTTCAAGTCCCAAAAGGGTTGAGATGTAATTCTATGATGAGTGGTACCTATAGCAACCACCTCATGGTAAGTTATTAAATGTTTTACATTATAAATTGTGAACTGTGAAGAGTGGCAAAACAATACTGGTACAGTGTTTCCTTGGATTAAGCAGATTGGATTGATATATGCCACGCCCATTTCCAACTAAAAAAAATGTTCAGCCATTTTGGATTTTTTGCTGAACACATTTTTTTGCTTATTTTGGCACATATTTCATCTAATTTTCACCAAACTGAGTACATACCATCTTATTTATAGATGACACTGAACAAAAAATGCATTAATTACTGTTTGTCTGTAATTGGTTACCAAACTTTTGAAGGCATGCCTTATGCAGTGGGCCATAACTCTTCAATGGTAAGTTAGACTGTAACAACATTTGGGAATGTGTGTAACATGTCCAACATTTCTACCTATAGGGGGCACTACAGAAACATTAAAACCTGGTATATCTACAATTCTCTTGACTAAAATGAAATAAAAAGTTTTTCATGAACATGTGTATGGTCTTTAGTAACACATACCACCATGCTACTTATTAACTGCCGTATCCCTTTAATGCCATATTCCATGCTAACTGATTCCAGAAAAGTTGTACAGGTGGCATATCTTCCTAAAGCATTGCTACCAAATATTCTCTGCATCATTACTGGGCCAAGCTTAACAAAAGTTGCATAAAGCAGACCTCTAGTGGTTGCTACAAATGCAACAAACTGGGAGTGACATAACACAAAGCAGACTATAAATCAGATGCTGTTTGTCCATCACTAATTTTAAAACCTCATTAGCTCATCAGCTATATTTATTATAATTACTGTTGACCTTTGCACTAGTCTAGTTGATGGCGTTTAAAGAAGACCTACCTTTGTCCCAATGACAAGAGGAAGAGGAAGCAGCAGCAGTGGTGTAAGAGCGATCAGGGCGTCGTTGTGATAGTTCAGCCATCTTCTTAGCCGCTTCAGCATTCTCTTTTTCTTTGTCTTTTTTTTTTCTCCTCTTCTTGTCTGCAGGTTCCTGTTGAAAATCCAGCAGTCTTCATGCCAAAAGCCTTTACAGTGGCTGATAACTGACCTGTCGTTGACCTGGCAGGAATACAGTGTCAGGTTGACCCTCTTCTCAGACACTCCAGCCTCAAACTGTTTGAGATCACCGAGTGTATGTTCACATCTGTTTTCTTGAGCAAGACACCATACCTACTTGCTAATTACCAATTATCTTTGTATAAATGTGTTAATATTTCAGTGGTTAAATTTGTGTCTTCAAAAATCCATCTGTTTTTGAGGGAGTTTCAGGGGAACTCCAGGAAGTACATCACAGCCAGAACTTTGGATTTTAAGTCGAGGGTAGATTTCTTTACTTTTGTTTGAGCAAGGCTAGCAGTTTCCCCTTACTTCCAGTCTTTGTGCTAAGCAAGGCTTTATCCAAAACTGTCTTGACCTAACTCTGTACTGGACGCACAGAGATGGAACTGATATCCATATTCTCATCTGACGCTGGAGAATATAGCTTACTACTAATTTATAAAAATATGTTTTTTATAGTTTGAAAATATCACCAAATATAAAAAAATCACACAATATCATCACAACATATTTTGTGTATTGTTGAGACTGATACTCTGACTGACTGATACTCTTCACCTTACTTTAGTTTAGAGTCACTTCATTACAGAATTTGGATGGAAAAATGTACAATGAGAGATGGACTACAGGATGCAACCTACTGTGTTCCTGTGAACTGCTGCACTAATCAGTACTGAAATTACATCAATTGTGTATGAATGGAAAGCTGAGACTCTGAGGAACCATAGCAGCCATGTCATTGAAATGAGACTATTTTTGAAAACTCAACTCATAATCATCATCATCAATCATGAAAATATTCAACCACTAGAAATTTAGGGCATTGAGAGGATGTATGGCTTTCCTATGTATTTGACAATAAGGGGGTTTCTGAGCAATTTCTAGAACAGAAGTGCTTACCATCCAATTGCTGAAAGATGCTATACTGGGTCTTAAAGGACCAGTGTGCAGGATTTAGTGGGATCTAACTGTGAAATTGCAGATTGCAACTAACTGACCACCAATCTGGACGACCTGGGAATGAGAATGAGCTGTGATAGGCTCTCTCAACAGCTGATTTTTAGTTTGTCCAATCAGGGCTACTGTAGGAGCATGGCAGATCCCATGAAAGGTGACCTGTGGAATCTATAGATAAAAATGGCTCATAAGGTAACAAAAACACTAAGATTACTATATTCAGGGGACTATACACTAATGAAAACATACCTATGAATATTATGTTCCATTTCTGCCAATACATCTTCCTAAATGTTACACACTGGACCTTTAACTGATCTTCTTGTTGTTGAACAAAAGCTTGAGAAGTTTATATGATGGATTTTAAAATTATCTCAGCCTTATAACTCTTTCTGGAAGACGGACCCTGGGCTCTCAGAACAGTATGCAAAGGTCACATACATCCTTTTTTTAAACCAGGACTTTTCAATCACAGAAAAAATGTGTTAGAAAGTGACAGACAATATGAGTGGAGGTGAAAAGAGTGACATTCTATAGAAAGCCACAGGGTGTTTCTTAATGACCTGAGCACGGTGTGTTGTTGGTGGTGTGCTTGCCTGTCGCCATAGTGATGGACTTGGAGACTAGCTGGTTTCCCAGGGCAGCGGTCGGCTGACAGTTCATGTACTTGGCCATGACGGAGATCTGTTTGAGATCTGGCTGAGCGCCGAGCCAGCATGTGTTTGAGCTTGATGCTACAGATGAACGTCACCACATACATCTGAAAAGAAACAAAAGGGACACTCCGTTTGTGTAGCAGCTGGAATCCAGACTTCACCAGCTTCTAATAACTGTTTGACCAGACAAACAGAAAGAAGACCTAACAAAGTAACAGTAGGTATCAGTTTGATAAAAATGTGAAAACTTAATGCCCCTGTGTATAAAGCCAAGTCGTTGGACTGTAGCAGTAAGTACTGACCGTATAATTAAAAACCTATGTATCCTCTGTGAGGCTTCTGGGCAAAGACGTGGAGTGTGGGTGGAGCTGAGGGGAATCGAATGAACCCTGGTTACTGAAACCAGCTGCCTATGACAGCACCCTTAATTATTCATAACTTTTAGCCATAATATAATTTAAATGCGCAAGTTATACAAGAATGGACACCTGTACAGTTGTCATGAATGGGAAAAATAGCTATAGAGGGAAAAATCTCTCTATAGTATACCAGGCTGTAAAAGTTTTTAAAAACATTTTATGTATCTGATCAAATTTCTCATATCCGTATGTGTCTTCAGATCTGAGATGAATGAGTTTTCCTGGTTGCTGATCTCTACAGAATGATTGACCTCAGGTACTGTATTCAATTTTAAATGCAACAGGTACCCAATGTCAAATTCTAAAACAAAAAAACAAAAACTGTAAGGGTATTAATTAAGTGCTATGATTCTGACTGAGGAAAGATCAGCTCCTTGCCCTGCAGACAGACTCTGTGCACTGATATGGATGAGCTGCAGGGAAACAGTGTGGCTGTAAACATCTCAAGGCCACAGCTGAGGTTGCAGGCTTCAGACTGTTAATTGAGGTTCACTGCAGGCTGGTGAGTAACATTTTACATTTTCCAAGCTTGTGACAAAGATTGATGATGCTCGAGTCACAGGTTTAGTCTCAGTCACACCATCAATTACTAACCTTTTATAGTCTGGAACCATTTCAGATAGTCCAAAAGGACAGTAGACACATTTTACATGCATGTAGCAGTGCAACTCACTCTGTGAGCAGTTTATTCCATCCATGGACAGTGGCCACTGACTCTCTGTTGGAAAATTTCAACCTATTCTGGTTAAATCACCAGCACAAACAATGAGACACTTAATTTAAAAAAAATCTGTTTCATTACAAAAACAAGTCAAAGGCCACAGACTGTGTCCATAGCAACTACACAAAATATGTCAACTAAGAATCCCACAGAGCACTGTTGTGAACTTTCATGAATGTCATCATCTGTCTCTACCTGTGCTTTTCAAAATGTCTGCTGTATATAATGCATATCTGATCCTAATTAATGCTAGTCTATTAAGATTCAGGTACTCAGACAATAAAAACAAGACTTGTGAAATACAAGATGGACAGACTTTTGACAGGGAAGAAAAGAAAAACTGGGGATAAACAATAATCGACTAGACACATGAATCTAATCCTAAGGTGCTCATTGGCCCCGGGCTCTGTTCACATATTTTTCACATTAATTTCTAAATGTGGCCCACCTGAGATTCCAGTGTGAGAAGGTCACAGTCTTGAAATGACCTGCATGACAGATGTTAATCTAGAGTGACAAAAAAGTCACATGAATTCTGATATGACTGTTGACACTGAGGTCACACTGCAAATCAGAAAAGTATTTGATTCGGACGGACCACATATGAAAGTGGCCCAAATCAAAATCGAAAAGACCAGATTGCATGTGATTTGTTCACATCGTCAAGAAAAAAACTATCTGAGTCATATACAAGTAAATAAAAACCAATAATAACAAAAACAAAAAAACTCAGACTTTGGCCACTTGCACCTCGAGCATGAATGTAACTTGTTTGAGATGAACTGCACCTTGCCTGGAAAGTGGATATACGAAAATCACACAGAAAATAAGGAAAACATGAAAAGAGCAAATCAGCACTTTAATCATGCCCTGGGTCTTGCAGCTGATAGAGAGCAACTGCGGTGCCTGGCTCTGATAAATGCGGCCACCTTGATCTTGTGAGGTTATTGTTGCCCACATGTGCATGATGTCAGAGCAAGTCAGCTAGTGTCTGAAACTCCTTCCTGTCACAATTGTCACGCTAGGTAACAAGAACACAAAGAGAACGGGACCCAAATGCAGACAACTGAGGCAGATCAAGTGCAGTATAGTGATTCAATAAATAAGAAAAGCCAATGAACAAAGGCTTATGGATGGTCGGGCAAACTCAGGTCAAAACCAGGTAAGGCAGTCTGAACAAGCAAACAAATCCGACACGGAGCAGGTAGAAAATCCAAATTCCATAAAACAGGCAAAGTTAAAGAAAACAGAGAACTCAACACTAGGAACTTCTGAAATGCTTGACACACTGAAACGAGGACAACACAAAGACTAAATACACAGGTGAGAGGAGGATAACACGACAAGGTGAAACTACCGAGGACAGGGCAGATAATCGAAACTGGCGGGAAAACAGACAAAGGTAGGAAGCGAAGTTACACAAGGAAAAATTCTTTCAACATAAAACAGGAAATAACTGAACAACAAATGTACGTAAACCATGACACCTTTCAAATTCTGGCCGATTGATTAGTTTGGGGTTATAATCTGGATTAATCTGTTCAGTTTTAATGGTGCAAATGGATTTAGTAAATCACTAATTGCCACCCAAATAGAGCCACGGTCTGCTCGAGGTTTCTGCCTCTTAAGAGGACGTTTTTTCTTGCCACCATCGCCAAGTGCTTGCTCATGGTGGGAACTGTTTGATAGTTTGAAACTAGTATTTACTAAGTACTTAACAAGGACATTAGACAGAAACTTAGTGAATAGTTTTCTATAGGATTGGGTGTGTTTTGTGTGTTGAGGAATTAAAAATTAAGAAAGAATACAAATAATTAAAAGTAAAAACTTTCAAATGAACAGTATTGGGACGAACTATATAATTAAACAGAGTTTAACCACATTTTGCAGTAGCTGGTAGTTCAACTATATTCATATTTACAGAATGATTCAAGAAGTTAAATTACTTTTGTTTTTACTTTTATGTGAGCAACGGAAATTACAAATAATTTTGGGCCATAAAAGTGGGGTGGAGGTAGTTCATTGTGTAGGGACTTGGCTTGGGAACTGGAGGGTCATCAGCTCAAGTCACACAGACCACAATATGGAGTGTGGACTGGTAGGTTCCCCTAGGGGATTAATAAAGTATATCTT